TTCCTAAGTGAAAGGAAACCTCGAATGTGGCCACCCAATTCTGGAGACTGGGGGAATTAGACCCTATTTTGGAAGCTACATAGTATGGGTGTGTGGAGATAGTGCCATTTGGTGTCAGGGCCAGAGTACGTGCCGTGATGCTATTCAGTCTGCTAGAATACCCGCAGCCCATGGTGCTGCTTCTGGCTTTGGAAGATCTTAGCCTACAGGTTGCTGAAGACTAGGAAGGTACACTGGGGAATCACCTCATATATGCCCTTCTGTCTTTCTCCAAAACTACTACAAACTGGCCGATGACAAAGATGGCTTGATTTGACCCAGAAGGGTCAGTCGTGCCACAGCATCTAGCGTGTCTCATTCCAAACTCTACATAAACACAGAAGAAAAATGAGGGTCCCTACCCCAAGGAATTTCTAATAACTAATCCTCTACAGTCTCCAGTTAGTGGTGCCTGAGGAAGCATTCCTTACCTCATGATTGCTCCCCTGATTAACTCTCACAGTAATTGTCTGATCCCTCAAGGAAATTTGGTTGCATGTCGTGCTCCTTCTGCAATGTTCTCACTTGTAGAGTCCAAGGCAAAAGAGGGTCTTTCTGGTCACCTACTCTGTCTTCCTACATAACAGACTGGATGAGATTCACTCATTAAATATAAGAACTTATGGTCAGCCATAAGCTAAGCAAAAAAACATCTAAGTCTTGGCCTGATGCCAACAAACATAAAAGTAGCCACATCCCTTGGAAAACTCTTCTGATGGTTGATAAATCCCATCCCAGGAGCTCATGGTAATTGCCACTAGCAGCCATAAACTATGTAGACTATTTGCCACAACACAATGTGGTTTCATACACCATACAAGAAGTATTGGATTTTAAGGAAGAATTTGTTTTTGTTTTAATTCAAGACAGTCGGTAAAAGGAAGGCCTAGTGATTCAAGAGTAAGTGCAGAAATCAGGACATCTGTGACTAGACACATAGTCACGTTGATGAATTCCTGTGACTTAAAGAAATTTTAATGACTGTTCAGCTGGTGGACCTTGGATAGTTGCCATTTGTAAGGGAAATCCTCTCTTACTGCGCAGTTGCTGTCACGTAATCCTACACATCATTTCTTATAGTTTAATGGCCTGTGAGGATTTCTGGTGTTTCTAAGATCTGTCTGCCTCTTTATAAAAATAAATGATACAAGTTTTGTCTGGAGAGGAAAATGTACTGATGTGCAAAACCAGTGAGATTCACAGTCCAAAAAGTTTATTTCTCCGTGAGTTATAACTGAATTAAACTTAGAGGTTTACTGGAAACATTTGTGGACAAGGTAGATTACAAAAGGAAGAAAACTCTTTTCTCTGCTTTCTCAAATCAATACTACAAGAAAGGAACACAAAACAAGAAAGCTGTTCCATGTGTGTCTCTAAGTTTATACCCACATAAAAGTATAGGAGTAAACCAAAGACTTGTAATATTGAAATGTTCTGGATTACTCAACAAAATGGGAAAGAAATTAAACCAGAGCCACTGGAACAATATATACCAACCACACATTATGCTGCAGAGGTGATTTAACTTAAGATTCAAGTATACATGCAGAGTTATAGTAGTAGAAGAAAACAAAAGCAGATTGAAGGGGCAACACTCAGATTTACGAATAGCACTTTCATTGATAGAAGATATTGATTCACATGTAGGAGAGGAAACTTTTCCTTTTTTTTTTTTTTGTTCAGTTTTCAAGACATCAAGGAAGAACTGCCAGCAAAAACTGTGAACTTAATTTTAGATGCTGTGAATGATGTTATTTTAAACCAGAAAATAGAAAGTCAATCAAGCAGTAGTCCAGATGCATTGCTTAGGAAAGAATCTTCCTGTTAATTCAGCTAATCTATCAAATCTTGGAAAAGAATGTCAAAAGTTACTGTTCCTCCCGCTCCTAGCCTCCTTTCCAGGAAACAGGGGCCTCTGTAATAAGGCTAGACATAGATGTGATAAAATAAGTTAACAAAATTATTAAAAGACAATTTGAATTATTATTCAAAGAGAATAATATGAGAAACAAGGAAAAACCCAAGAAATATGAAGCTTCGAGACACCTTTGAACACTTTTAAGATTCAGTTGGATAGGGTGCCTGGCCATCTTGGCTAGACCACGCTTTTGCCAAGAAAGATTAGACCAGGTGATCCTTGAGGTCCCTTCCAACCTATGATTGAAAAATGTCCAGCCAGGGTCAACCCACCACAAGAGCCAAAAAATCACTTTAAAAGATTCCCCAGAAAAGATACTAATAATCACACACTTCTGAGCTATGTGTAAGCGGATAACATTGATTAGGTTGGACCCACAGTCACCTGTCACTGCGATATTCTACACAAGAATAAAAGGAGTGCAAATTAAATTAATAAGGCACAAAAAATGAACTGCCTATTGACAAGATGGCAATGAAGATTTTCATATTAAAAAAAAACCCAAGGGACTATGGAGAGATTATGGGATGATGTTTGATCCACACCCACATTTCTGCAGATGGAAGACATGGAGAAAAAAAGGCAGGGAGAAAAAGTCTCTGTAGGACCCCTGGAATTTATTGTGGAAGATATCATTATCACTACATAGAGGATAATCTTCAACTCTATGGGGGCAACTCTAAAGGGCAACAAAGCTGGTGAAGCACAGGTCTTACGAGGAGCAACTGAGAGAACTGGGGTTGTTTAGTCTGGAGAAGAGGAGGCTGAGAGGAGACCTTGTCACTCTCTACAACTACCTAAAAGGAGCTTGTGTTGAGGTGGCTGCTGGCCTCTTCTCTAAAGTAACAAGTGATGGGACAAGGGGAAATGGCCTCAAGTTGCGCCAGGGGAGGTTTAGCCTGGAGATTAGAAAAAATTTCTTCACTGCAAGAGTGCTCAGGCATTGGAACAGGCTGTCCAGGGAAGTGGTGGAGTCACCATCCCTGGAGGGGTTCAAGAAACGTGTAGATGTGGTGCTTGGGGACATGGGTTAGTGGGTTGGGTGGTGTTGGGTTGATGGTTGGACTTGATGATCCTTGAGGTCTTTTCCAACCTTAATGATTCTACTCTATTCTATTCTATAGCATGCCAGAGAAGATAATCTAGCTGCAACAAACATCAGTAGGTGCCGTCAGCTTCAAATACTATATAGCATACCAGAGAAGATAATCTAGCTGCAACAAAGAGCATCAGTAGGTGCCGTCAGCTTCAAATACTCCACAGTGACCACTTCTGGTCAGTTAATAACCATGACATTCCAGCCATGTCCTGCCATGCCTGGGCATGTTGGGATGAGATCTGACTCTGGAAGAATAGAGACCTTTAGGCAGGATGATCACCACTGCAGAGCTGAAAATGTAAAAGATAACTACTTGTATTTAGATGGAAAAAAAGATGGGGATGAATGAAAGTGAAGATATTGTGTTTACTGAGCGTGTATTTATTGTATATCCCAGGTAAAATATCAGTGTTTATAACGACTAGGTAGAAAAGGCTTTATAATGACTAGAAGGAAAATTGTGGGAAACTCATTTAAGAATCACGAGGAGAACTTTAAGACTGCACTAAGAAGTAGGAGGCAAATCTTTTCTTTAGAGAAACAGATGAAAAATTTCAAAAATGGACATTAAGAGGAAGTTACTACCACTACACAAGATTATTATCTCCATGTGGACTGAACAGGACTGAACCATGCAGTTGTCTATAAGCAAGCCATTTTTTTCTGCTCTCCCATTAAGAGAAACACAGGCTCTAGACGTACTTAGAAAAGATGAATCCCACAGTAGGGTGGCCAGCTTGCTCATCTTGGACTTAGACAACTGACTCTTAGGCCATAAAGTCTGTAGCAGTAGGATGTTTGGGAAAGACATTTTCCTTGGATCCTCCATCTGAGAACAGGAAGCTCTTTCCAGAGTGGTGGGCATAGTCGAAAGCACTATGATATGACATGTTGCCTCTACCAGGAAAGATGGCTTAAGGCACCGTTATCCCCTTCTGCTCTTCTTCATAGTTGCACGCTCCTGTCTCTGTGCCAGGTCAAAATTATCTGGGTTAAAAATATTCCTCCAATTTTTTTCCCTTCTTGTCAGTCATTTGAACCCGAGTCATTTCAGTCATCTGGTTCAGAAAGTGATCTCACAAAGGGTTGTAACATTACAGCTGAGGAGCTGGCACACAGAACTGTAAGGATGGAAAATGTGGCAAGGAGCAGGCGAACTGCTCCACTAGGCTGTGTTGCCAGGGACAAGTCAGGCTAACACATGAGATTTCTTCAGAAGAAATAGAAGTACAGGCTAGTCTACATTACAAGATGAAGAAAAGAGGAGAATCTCACATTTGTCAGGAAATTCCTTTGGGAACAGCAGAACAAAGGATCCGTCATGCCCTGAATTTGTTATAAGAGTCCAACCCAATTGGCACAGTCACCAAATCATCAACACAAATGCATCTCCTAATCCCACTCATACTCCAGTTACTTATGCATTTATTAGTTATATTACCGTAATGCTGAGGATCCCACACCATGATCAGGACCCTGTTCCATTAGGAACTATGCAACTGCAACATGCTACCCAAGGGCTGTCTTATTCTGTTGAATTCCTGGTTGTTAGGTACAGAAGGGTTAAGCTGCTGTTGGGACATGCATCCCAGGAGAAGGTGAGAAACTCCATTAGTATAAGTTTCTTTGGGGGTTTTTTTATACTCAGTTGCAAAACATTGAGCTTCTGGACTTCTGTCAGAAGTTGCCTTCCATTGACCTAAAACAATATCTGACGTATGAGGTTACTGAATGGCTGAACAAGGTTCTTCTATGTCACCCCTTCATGTAATTAATGGGGAAGTACCTAATGTGACACTAACTACACAAACCCAAAGGATTAAGGTAGTGTGGGTAAACTATTAGCCCCATGAGTTAAAGGATTTGCATCACAGGGAATGCAAACGCTGATGTGATAACACCCGTTAGAACACCTGACCAGCACCAGGTACCAGAGATACTTGCCTTCTTCCCATCAACGGTGTAGAGCTTCTTCACTGGGAACTGCAGGATCTCTGAAATCTCATCCAGGAGTGTTTTGAAACTCCTGGCGTTTCTGCGGTTCAAGATAATTGAGCGCCGAAAACCACTTTCTCCATTCTTAACCAGAGTGATTTTCTTGGGTATTCTGGGCCCGTGGTGAGGGAAAGGTGTGGAATAATCTTCAAGCCTGGCCTCCTGAACTGCTCTTCTCAAGGTACTGGAGGGACGACCATTTCGTGGAGGGCCTGGCCTGTGTCCCCCAGCAACAATGTTGATGGGCTTGACGTATTTCTTGTCGGAGCAAAGGTAGCACCCTCCATCCTCCAGCTGGTCCAGCTCACTAATGCAATGTATTCCTCGTGGAGTGGTGATGGTCCGTACCCCAAATGGAAGTGGAACCCTATGAGAGAGGTCATCCATGAGTGCATTGAAGCTCTTGAAGCTTCTCTTGTTGATGGCCATCTTGACTCCTGCGAACTGAGGATCTCCGCTCTTGAAGAAGGTTATTTTTTTGGCTGGGGGTACCTTGGTGACGGCACTTGTCCGAGCCACGGAGGGAAGGGGCTGCTCATAGTTGTAGGAGCTGGTGGTTGACAGGTAGTCAGCAGGCACCTGAGTCATCCCTCTTGCTTACAGGTAACTACAAGAGAAGCAAAAAAAGAATAAGGTTTGTTTGAATCATGTGGAATCAGTGCCTAACTAGCAAAATTTGTTTTCCTCACAACAGTTTTAACATCTCTGCTAGATCAAGAGCAGATCGTGCCACATGGAGTTATGAACTCACTCTCTCGGGTAGATACAAGGAAACGCAGCAGGAAGAGTAGCCATAACCCTGCTCCTCACAGATAAACCACCCTTGTCCTGCAGATGCCAATGAGAACTCAGTTAGACACCCCAGAGGCACAAAGAGCATGAGTCAGACCCCAAGCAAAACCCACAAAAAGTCATATTTGTGTATTGTTGTCCTTTTGAGTTTTGCATCTTCCTTGCTTCTATTTTTTGAGGTTTTCTCTGAAACCATCAGAGCCAGTGATTACTCTGGTTTTATTTTTACAAGCAGAGAGCTGAGATTCTCATGTAACTCTTTAACCCTGTGAACTGGTGCATAACAAAATAAAACCAAAACAAGACAGAATTTGTTCATGTAGTGATTGCACATTGTCGCACACAACCACTCCTGAGCGTTCTGAGACGCAGGGTAGCTTGGTTTCAGAGGAGCTGCATGTGGCCGCACCACAGTGTCTGGGTGAAAATCCATGGCAGTTACGCAGACAAATACGGTAAGAAATATCACAAGACCTCAAACAGAACTGCAAAAGTTGTTTCTGCTAAACAGTGGGAAAATTTTAATTCAGCCTAGTAAGCACAAGAGTGAGGAGAACCATCTGTCCAATTTATGTGGGAGTACCTGGTGTTCTTCACTTTTAAAGCTAAACTGACTTTGGTGTTTGAGTCTGGAGGTTGAAACTCATCTTTTGGAACACAATTGTTTTTAATGTGTTTGCTATGATGGAGACATGCGGAAAAGAGTCTGGAGTCTACGCTTTCTTGCTTGCCCTTATCGGATGCATTGTCTTGGAAGTCAATCACTAAAAAATTCTGACCCCATATACTATTATGCCAAAAAAAGAATGCTTGATTTTTGACATGGGAAAAGCAGAAAACTCAACACTATTTACAACTGATAAAATATTGGCTATAATGAGTACTATAAATGTCTATTTCATTAATATGAACAGTGATTCCACAGTTCATTTTGCATTGATTACTCAAACTTAGATGGAGACTCTCAAAATGGCATTTAGAGATGTCATCTTCTGATCAGAAGCTTCTGCACACACGTGGGCAACAAACCTTTTGAATTGTTAGAAGGGAACCCAGTAGCTGGTCTTGTAGCTTGCAGAAGATGGTTCTGGCTACAAGCACCTACATCCAATTTACTTTCCAAATTGTGTTCTTAGTTGTTTGCAGTTTTCTATGGCAACTTCAAAAAATTCTTGCACAGGAATTTGTTAGAAAGCAATAAATGTATTTCTAATGATATATTTCCTCCACTTTGCTCCTGGTAACACATCTTGCAGCAGCTGGACAAAGTTCTGGTTTCAAGAAAATAGCCACGCTACTCGCGAATTATTCTTTGTAGGATTAGTTCTGTGACCATTGTAACTACTGGGAATTTTGTCATTGATTTGCAGAGATGCAGCATTCAAAAAGCTGTAAATGCTGATTTTCTCCACATTTTAGAACAAACCCGTTATTTTCTTACTATGCTACTTTCAAGTGAAATATTTGTGCACTTTGTACTACAGCAAATCCACTCCTGCAATAAATGGAAGTTTACCCTGGGCTAGGTGAGAAAATATATTAGGCACCATTTTAAAGAGTATTATTTTGATAAATCTCTGGTTTTTTATATCCATACACACTGACAAATATTTCAGTATGATTTATTCTTTCTGTATACATATTTCACCAAGCAATTATTCACTTATTTAGTTTCCAGTTAAAGGTCAATCCATCACTCTATCTTCCGGGGGGGGAATAAAAAAAAATTTCATTTCTCTATTTTTCAACAGCTTTTAGAAAGGTGGCTCTAACTTTTTCTCCATGAGTCCCACATTAGAGCTTTCAAACATAAGCAGCATTATTTCCAAACAGATAAATTATCCAGCCAAACTTTCCCGGACCAATGGTGGTCCACAATATGCTGGCTGCACTCCCAGAAATCTAAGTACCTCCCAAGGATTTATTCTACTTTTTTCAAGCTGTTAAATCATATTGAAAGAATTATACATATTAAAGTATGGGACAAATCATAATATACTTTTCCAACATTAATTTTATTTAAGTATGATTTCACAAGACCATTAAAGGATCACCAATCTAAAGGAATATTGTTGCTTAAGTTTTGGGTGATAGAGTTGGTTACCCACCCAAGCCTAGATGGTCTGTCAGACCTGCTCTGATGAAGCCATATATAATGTGTAGAAAAAGCCTTCCACAAAAACCTTGCATGAAATATAAATAGCTCCCACCAGGACGAGTTCTGTATTGTCCATCTGAAATTTCAGAATGGGAAGGGGAGTCTACTATATATTTGGCAAGGCAACAAAAATGGTCATCCTTCCCAAATACATCTTTTTATAGATACATAGCAGGAAGCTCAATGTATATTTTTGTACTTACATTGAAATACGTCATGCCTCTTGCTCAAGATGACTTTTTCTTATAGAATATCCAAGAGATTGAAAATAAGCAAAATAATAATAAAAAAAAAACCCCAAACCAAAAAACAGCGCAACCAACCAACCACCTCCAGGGTCTAATGCGCTGGACAATGCAGGGAAAAGCATTAGCAGGTTACATGCTGTCAATCAAACTGTCCTCAAAATGACTGACCACAGCTTGGAGGGTTAATCAGGACTGAGTTGCTAAGGATAGAAAGAAAAGCTACCTAAGCTGCTGGAGAGGACTCTCAAATCCACTGGGGCTTTAGCGCAACCAACCGACCACCTCCAGGGTCTAATGCGCTGGACAATGCAGGGAAAAGCATTAGCAGGTTACATGCTGTCAATCAAACTGTCCTCAAAATGACTGACCACAGCTTGGAGGGTTAATCAGGACTGAGTTGCTAAGGATAGAAAGAAAAGCTACCTAAGCTGCTGGAGAGGACTCTCAAATCCACTGGGGCTTTAGGCACAGTTTGCCCAATCCTTCTCGTGCTTGCACCCGTGTAACTCAGGTATCAATATGACTCAGTGACGCTCCCTCAAACCATACCAGTGTAATTGAGAATGCAGCCAAGGCCAAAGAGGAAATATCTTCCTCTTGCATAAAGGCCTGCAGGGATCTGGACAACCTCCTTGAGCCAACCCACTCATCAACTCATCCACTCATTAACCATGCTTTGGAATCAGTTTCAACTGTTGGGTAACTCCAGGGAAATCAACAGAGCTAGAGTAAAGATGATGGCAACTCTTAAGGTTTTGCCTATATGTTTGTTACTTCTCAGAGGGTTGATAGTTACTTTCTCAGGACATAGATGGCTGAGATACATAACAATTTTTTCAGTGAAATATTATCTTCACAGGAAAGTCCTAACTTAAATATTATCAAGTTCATGGCAGATGTCAAAGTCAGATTCTCAGATCATAGAATGATGTAATGGTTTGGGTTGGAAGGGACCTTCAACATCACTGAGCTCTAACACCCTGCCATGTGCAGGGACACCTCCCACTAGCCCAGGTTGCTCAAAGCCTCATCCAGCCTGGCCTTGAACCCCTCCAGGGATGGGGCACCCACAGCTTCTCTGGGCAACCTGGGCCACTGCCTCACCACCCGCACAGGAAAACATTTCTTCCTCACATCTCATCTCCATCTCCCCTCTTTCAGGTTAAAACTCCACCCCCTGATCAAGAGCCCCACTATCTCTCCTGTAGGCTTACAACTGCTATAAGAGGTCAGCAGCTCTACTGAAAAATTTCTAGGAGTTTATCCATGGGAAAGACTGAACCCCTCATGGAGGCCATTCTACTCACTCAGGCCTGTCCCAGGCAGCCTGGCCTCTATTTATCAATTTCCCACCACAGTTCAAAATGACATCTCAAAAAGACTAAACCACAGCAGACAGGCAAGTCACGTACTTCTCAACCCTACCAAACCTCTACTGTCCAACTTCACACAGAGGAAGCCATGTGACCATGTTGTTGGGCATCCATTATGTGATCCCTTAGCCAAAATCCAATACATCTGCAGCACGTCACATCAGCCTTCACCTTCTGTCCTTGTTATCTCTGAGGGTTTTTTTGCAGCCTTCTCTCTGTTGGGGACATAGAAGGAGGGGAAAATCCTGATGCCACTCTAGAAAGTGTCTGAGCTGTCAGAGAACTTGACTCAAAAGATTGAGCACCAAGTCTGTAACCTCTATTTGTGAGATGAGAAGACCTTTATGAGAAGCATCCAGACTTCACTTATATATTTTAAATTGTCCAGAGTCTACCCCATCCAGCAGCAACAGTTCCAACAGTTAAGCCCACTTAGTGCTAAACATCTGTGCCTTTTCTCTAATGTGAATAAGCCCAGTGTCATTTTTTGTATGGCTTTAGTTGATAAATTACTGTGCAGACTTTTACTAGAAGTTTCTCTTCCCATACAAGTAACTAACTTCCATTTTTACAAAGTAATTTCTTCCAGAAAGAAGAAAAACTTACAGGTCACCATTAACATTTGGAAGGGGGCTCGTTGAAAAATCCAAGTTCTAGGGAAATCATGAACAAGATTATTTCATTTGAAATTTTTCCCAGAAAAGGTAGGAGTTTCTGGCAAGAAAGATGAATCACCATTTTGCAAGACCTAACCATGTTTCTCTAAAAAGGCTCATTTCAATTTCTTCTGTGCCCTTTTTGACAAAGAAAAACATTTTTTTAAATGTCAACGTGATCTTATCAACAAGTACTTATGGTCCAACCAAGCCAAAGTATTGAAAAATAAAAGTTGAGACATTTGCTTCATAAAAGAGGAAAGCATTGAATTGGAAGGCAGTGTAGCTGTTTGCCTGTGATGATGCAAGAATTCCTTGCAAACAAAACAGGTAGATTGTATATTTTTCCCTCAATGTATTT